GTCCTTACCCACAACATGATAAACAGTTGAACCAGGCTTGATGGGCTGCTTCCAAACATGTCAGTTGTTGTTAATTTTGCTTATCTATCTGTAGACAACCAGTGGCAGAGGACAAAGGATTTTCTTTTTTAATTCATGGGACTAAAAATAAAATTAAGAAAAATTTTGTATATTACCTTTTATTTTTTTAGAAACCTAGAAGGGACTGCCATTATTTTATTTTGCAATGAAACATCTGTATTTTCATGGAGTATTCCTCATGAGCCAATGTCCATAAAATTTGAAACGGATCACTTATTATTATCTTTAACCTTCCTCTTAACCTTCTTCTGTCTTCTATGCCGTTTTGCATACCTTGATGTTTTTGTTTCTTTTTCCCCTCCCTGATTTTACCACTTTGGCTATTTTTATGTTTTGATACCCTCTACCATAATTTTTCCATTTGATTTTCTCTATTCCCAATTTAGAACACCTTCCTTGTCTACATAATTACCAGCCCCATCATGTAAGTCATTTTCACAGTTGTGCAGAATTTTGCTTTAAGGGTAAATAGTTAATACCGTGGCTAACTTGTGTGCAAGCCCCTATGTATTTGTTTTCAGATATATTTCCTTTTTATCTACTCCTGTTAGTTTGCTAATGTAATCTCAGAGGTTTGTTTAGCCACGTTTAGTTTACTTTTCTATGCCAAATTAAGAGTGCCTTTATAGTTTGAAAATTTCAATGTCTGTTTCCTTTTTCTTACCTAATTGCTATGTGTTCTTATATTTGGATCACACTTTCCATCTCATTTTAGTCTCCTCAGTTGTGCTGTCTTCTGCATCATCCCACTTAGATACATTTCTTTTGTTTCCCATCAACACCATGCTGCATGCAACTATTAATGACAAGGACTTTAACAGGTACCCAGGACTAAGATGCAACCTATGAATATGTTTGGTTTGGTTTCAATTTTGGATTTGGTTTAAATTTAGTTTTATTCTCTGCCCCTCCAATCAGAGTATTAAACAATTGAATTTTTGAGTGATTTTAGATGGGGCCTGTGCTCTCCAGATTGTTCTCAAACTGGTGCCTTGCTTCGCTCCAGATGCAGCCTGCTACTTTTATTGAATGAAGTTGCCCACCTCGTCCTTGGAGTCATTCGCAATTGCAGCCCTTTGCTTATTGTCCTTCATTTTCTGCTTTAAATTTGGCAGATTGATTTTTTTGTGGCTTTGTATTTTAATAGGGAGTACCTCTTTCTGGTATTTTTG